ATAATATTATTAATGCGATAAATCACGGATTTATTAAGAACGACAGTAAATTCAAATGAGTCACGAAACAGGTAAAAGTTCCTTTTTATTAAAAGTCTCCGGATTCATAATCCATTAATTAACAATTATCTCAAGTCGGGGAGAGCAGATATCAATATCAATAAACTTCAAGGCAGGCAATCCAAGCATGCGCAAGTCATGCCGAGGTCGTACGGCCCGATCCAACATGAATGTAAAATGTGCACTGCCGAGGGTCGAACGACGCGAACCATAGATGCATCTATTACCCCGATCGCGAATCATACATGCGACGCGATCAAATTTAACTAAACAATCACCCTGCTCGCGAATCATACATGCGACACAAGTACACATAGAAATACTTGCTCAAACAGCAAATTAAAAATTTATCGGGGAACATTTGTCCAAATAAAGGCCAATTCTCTTTTAATGATTTAAGAAAATGTAGTCTAATCCTCTTAGAAATTCATTTACCAATTCGACAGGATATAAGAAATTCAATTGTCAATAAGATCACAGATATTCCAAGTTTAGCATGCTTTTTGGGTCCTAGACTACCCGGACTTACACATATTAGTAGCTACGCACGGACTCTCATCACCTCGTGCGTACGTAGCCCCCACAAATAGGAGCACATAACCAATTATTTCACCTATGGGGACAATTCCCTCTTACAAGGTTAGAAAGGAGACTCACCTCGCTCCGAAGACCCATAACCGGCATTCCACACCTTTCCGAAGACTCGAATCGATGCTAAATGCTCCAAAGCTTATCATTCATGATGAAAACCCCCCTCTTGAAACCCTCCAAGAATCGCCCAAGCCAAGAGAAAGATGAGAGAAAATGGCCAAATCCCGATTTTTAAAACACTTACTGCCTCCAGTCCATTCGCACCTGCGGTCTATTGACTGCTTCTGCGGTACCGCAGGTGCGGACCATTTGCCGCTTCTGCGGTCTTCCCCCAAGCCATCAACCCCTGCATCTGCGCTTCTCTTTCCGCAGGTGCGGTCCCGTATCTGCGGAAAAATGATCGCATTTGCGGTCCCAGCCTAGCCGTCCATTTCCACTTCTGCGGCACGAAGGCCGCTTCTGCTTCTCCGCACCTGCTGCCCAAGTCTCGCAGGTGCGGTTATACCAGCAACTTCAGCCTTTTCCAAAATTCTATTTTTGATCCGTTAACCACCCGGAAACCACCCGAGGCCCCTGGGACCCCAACCAATCATACCAACGGGTCCCAAAACACATTACGGACTTGCTCGACGCCTCAAATCATATCAAATAACGCTAAAACCATGAATCGACCCCCAATCCAAGCTTTATGAACTTTAGAATTTTAAACTTCTACTTTCGATGTTTAAACCTATCAAATCACGTCCGATTGACTTCAAATTTTGCACACAAGTCATATTCAACATCATAGACCTACTCTAACTTTCGGAATCGAATTCCGACCCCGATATCAAAAAGTCCACCTCCGGTAAAACTTCTCAAAAACTTTCAAATTTCTATCCTTAGCAAAATGGCTCCAAAATGCTCCACGGACATCCGAATTCACTTCCGATCGCGCTCCCAACTCCAGAATCACCATACGGAGCTACTCCCAGACTCGGAATCCCAAACGGACATCGATAACATTGAAATGCACTTCAACCCAAACTTATGGAATTTCTTCCAAAATGCGAACATCCACAATAGGCGCCAAAATGCTCCCGGGTCACCCAAAACCCGATCCGGGCATATGCCCAAGTCCGAAATCATCATACAAACCTACTGGAACCTTCAGATCACGATTCCGAGGTCGTTTACTCTGAAATCCAATCCTAGTCAATTTTCTCAACTTAAAGCTTCCGAAATGAGAATTTCCTCTCCAAGTCAACTCCGAACTTCCCAAAATTTAATTCCGACCACGTTGAAGCTGCTCATGGACTCAAACTGCTGAACGACGCGCTAGATCTCAAAGCGACCGGTCCGATCGTTACATACACAATGCTCTCACTTACGCTAATTCTATAACATATTCATACACCCCTATGTTAATATTTCATACATTGGTTACTCTTATAACACATGAAGATATGGGTATCTCGTGTTATTGCACTACCTCTCTAAAATATCGCTTCATAGAATAGTATGATGTGTAAGTAGTTCAGACTAAATTAAGCGTGGGATTTCACGAGCCTACGATCGACGGAAGTAGGATTATAACTTTCCTCGACATACATGATCGGCTAAGCATGGGGCGTATAATGGTATATTTTCACTTTCTTTCAGAGTTAACCATATTTACGATAATTTCTCGAGTCTCTAGCACTCCTATTTAACATATGAACAGTTAAAATACTGAAGAAGAAATTTTTTTTTGTCACCACCCGTCGTCGTTAGCTCTCATTCTTCGATTCCAAGCCATATTTACGGATCTTGAAATAACTAAATTTTATAAATATTGCACCTCTTGGGATACGAATCTCTTCAAGTCAATCCCCACTATTGTATACACATTCAACGCTTTAGTTATAGTGCTCTATTGTTATTCACTATCAGGTAGGCCCCGCCTTTAAGAACTGATGACTAACCACCCAATAAGGTCAGGACTCTCTACTAATGAACTTAGCTTTCTCAAACAAAGACAATTATAATAGCACATGTGCTCTAGTTTGCATATAATATCACATGTGCTCCAGCCTTAGTAGGCATAATACTAATGATCTATCATCCTTTTACTAGACATCACAAGGCTTAAAACATCATAACCTAAGAATGTAAATTCACACGTATAATGCATGTATTTAATTGGCATTATCTCAATGTCCGTAGGATCATCCTCAACCGCTACATATGTTTCTCTCAACTATGAAAATGTTCTCGTATGTCATTAATAAACATAACAATTAGAAGGCTAAGAAACAATCTGAATACTCAGTTCATCTAGTCCATAACAATTACTAGTGCCTTCGACGAAAAAAGAAAGATTCACAAGATGGTCATACCAACCATAACAAGTCTTGAAATATATTGTTCCGAATATCTAACTCTTTTATCTTTTACTTGTGATATTTGGATCACAAATCTATTTTTAAATATAAGATAACATCATATAATTAAGGGTATAAATCATTTAAGTGTAGAGAAAAAAATATTTGTCATTCATCGCACTCTAAGTCTTCTGCCTATATAGATCCACTAATTTTTTTCTTCAACTAATAGAACTTAAGCGCCTCAAAATAATATATTTGGTCTAATAACCTTTTAACCCTGTAATCTTGTACCTTTTTCTTTTAGTTTCTTCGACACCACAACTTCATTTTATAACATAAAATAAATATAGACTAAGTTTATAGAAATATATTAATTTTCAAATCTATCCCCTTAATAAGTGATACACTCGATAAGTCCGCAGAGGATACAGTCGAAAATTCATTAATCACAAAGACTAATTCATTAATCGGTTACTCAATTCTGGTACCCTTAGTTATAGTTAAATACAACATATACTCTTTACTTACTATATCTAGAACTTTTTATTGATGAGGTAGCTTTGCCTAGAGGCATACCAAGTGGATCCTCTATACTAGGCTCAATCGAAATAGAAAATTTGACAGTCTTTCATGGCAAGCCAGTGTAAGAAAATACGAAGTCGACTAATCCAAGCCCAAGATCACTTTAAGTCAACCATGCTAAGTTATAACAAGTTTCTAAGTGTATCGAAACTCTGAACAATGTCCATACATATACGATAAATCGGCCCAATAGTAAGACTCCCCTACTTAGGTTAAAACCAAATGATATATTTAAGTACTCAAATCTTTTTTCTTAATCCTCGTATACTCAATCATCTCATAACATGTTGCTCTTTTTCCTCAAATATATTCTTTATCGAACACAACGTACGTTAACAAAACTATATGAACTGATTACTTTTCTCTAAGATAGCCATGTCATTTCATTTTTTTTAATACTCAACTTCATTTAGTGTTCATCTATTTCCTTCCGATGTGTGCCAGTGTCACTACTCCATGTATAATGTCACTATGTGCTAAGTTTCATACTTAACTTTTTACTATATTGGTGTATAGCCACGTACTTAAGTCTTACTTGATCTCACAAGCTAGCATTCCTACACGAACTCTCACCATCAATAAGTTTTGCACATGTAGTGCCAGTACCATAATTATACTTAATGCATTTTAATTATTCATTCTTATACCACAGTCACACATATAACATCATTACAATATCGTTAATACTATCAAATCACTTCATCAGGTGTTAAGATGAGAACTGTATAAGCATTTTTCTCAAATTATCTTTCACTACCAATTCCAATAGCGGAACTATGGCTAAACTATTACACTTTTTAGTTTTCTGCTCAACTCTTCTCTCTCCTCATCAGACTTATAGTAGAGAGCTGTATCCAGGATCTCAAACTTTGAATAAGCCACTCTTAGGTAAAAGTTATATCCTTAGACTAGTTCACAATAATATTCAAAATTTTGACTAACTCTCGAACTTTTTCAAAAAAATTTGGCAAAGATTTCTTTAAAGATAAAGTTATCCCTAAATTTACTATCCTTCCAATATCAACAATAACTTATGCACATACTATCCCAATCCAAGGCAACTCTTAGTTATACACATATTTAGCTTCAATTGTCATCCAGCAGGGGAGGATATGCGTATCCTAGCCATCTGCTAAAGGAACTTCTCAAGGTTCAAATTGATTAAGCTCAACGCATGAATACGGAATGAAAGACGAAAAATCATCGTAAATGTTCAGTAGCCTCAAGGTCATAAGTATGGACATCTACATACCCATGAACAAGACTCTACCAAACACTGCTACATAACCCAGAACTTAAAGCCTAGGCTCTAATACCAACTTTGTCACGTCCTGAACAACCCCCTAGATGTGACTGCCACCCATCTAACACCACCTGCCAGGCGAACTACTTTCTCTAACGTTTAACCATTTACACAAACACTGAGAGAAGAAAATGCAGGCCTAATAGTTTTATTAATAATTAAAGAGGAAACGATTATCGCCCAATACCTTAGTCAATCGATAGAAAAACCAACAATCACTCAAATAATAAAACTCTAGCCCAAATCCCACACTAAGACCATGGAGCATCTAACAGAGTAACATGAGTTTATTGACAGGTATGCAAACCCCAAAGAAAAAGGAAATAACTAACACGAGCTCGGTAAGTCTGAAACGAAAGCCTCCACGAACAATGCGGTGGCTCACCTCAGCAATACGATCCACTCGAACAAACTCGTCAGCCACAAGCTCTATCTCCCGTAACAGTATCTGCATAGAGATGCAGGTAAGGAGTGAGTTATACGTAAATATAACCCAGTAAGATCCTCGACCTGCCACTTTAAATACCTCTGGAACAAGCATTGGGAAATACAAACACACCACAACATGAATGATATAGTAAATATGATAACTATACAATAACTCAATATGCGTGTATTAACAGAGTTATTAAGAATTAACCAACAAGGATACCCACGAAGGACTTATCATAATTGCAGTGAAAGAAATTTACCAACACACCATGAGTCCAAAACGGCACCACAATGCCTCAAATATGTAGCAGAGCATACACAATGATTGGGTGATGTACAAAGGCATACACAATGCCCCAACATCATGGCGCACAGCCGTATCAAACTCAACATAATGGCGCACAGCCGTATCAAACTCAACATCATGGCGCACAGCCGTATCAAACTCAACATCATGGCGCACAGCCGTATCAAACTCAATATCATGGCGCACAGCCGTATCAAACTCAACATCATGGCGCACAGCTGTATCAAACTCAATATCATGGCGCACACCCGTATCAAACTCAATATCATGGTGCATAACCGTATCAAACTCAACATCATGGCGCACAGCCGTATCAAACTCAATATCATGGCGCATAGCCGTATAAAACTATAAAACACAACCTCTTGGCGCACAGCCGTATCACACTATCAAACAACTTATAAAATAATTTTTCTTTTTCATAAAAAAATATATTTGCGGCTAGTCCAAGACCACCGACTCTGCCAAGCGCACGCTTGTCCAACACACTTTCAAAACGGATTTTAGATAAGCAAGTATCAAAGCTTAAAATCTCACTTACCTCAAAATTCTTCCTTTTAAACACCTTTGTTGCTCCAGTCCGGAATTCAACTCACCAAACCAATCTCTTGATTTACAAAATCCTAAGTAGAGGAAAACCTTGTTCATTAATATTATTTAATTTTTGTTTGCAACCTTCTTCTCGAACAGCCAACAAAAATCAAGGAGTTCAAGAAAATTACATATAGGCTACTCCATATACACTAAAATATATCTTATACACTACAGATTGAAAACGTACCATGAATGAGGAAGAAGGATCACCATTGTTGTACAAAAGCAAAGTCAATTTCTTCATCTCCAATTAAAGAAACCCATCAGATCAGCTACACTATAGCATTTTGTTGGCTCAATAATCAAGCAGTTTCTTGATTCCTCAATCCCTTATGTCTTTTCTTTTTCGAGTAAAGTTACAGCAGCACACGTTTTTTTTTCTTTTGTAGCGTCTTCGTGGTTTCAAGCAGCATGGCTGCGCTTTTCTTGGTAAAGTTCATAAGGAGCAATTGCTGACTTTTTCCCTAACACTTTAAAATACATTATTTTAAATGTATTTGTTTTCTTGGGTTTCGGCCCATATTATATAATAATAATTATTTTTTTTTAAATCAAAGGCAATGTTCTAATGCACTAATCCACATGAAAGTGAGTCTGCAATTGGATTTTTTACCGTTTGCATATTTCTTCATTTTTGTATACCAAATCCAACCTAATTACCTCAGCCAATAATATCCTATATGCCCACTAACTGCTTTAAATAATTCTTGAACTCATATTTTATATGGTTAATTTATAAATAAAAAAATCAACTGTTAAGAAATAATCCAACAAAAAATCAGTTTATAAGCAATTTACGACAATTAATTAAGGCAACTCAAACATGAAGATGCATTTAAGTTAATGAAAATTCTACGGGCCGTTACAAACATAGCCTGGAAATAACGGAATACAACTAAGGGAAGATAAAGATGGAGGAAAGCAGGGTTGCGATCGCCAGGCAGCTACCTCGCTAACTCCGATGGTTCTGCAACTGAATAATCAACACCAGCTACCGGGTCCAGAAATACCTGGATAGTTCAACCAAGGTGCAGGGAGTAACATGAGTACGCCAACTCAGTAAGTAACAAAAGTAAATAGAAGCTGAGCAGTAATGACGAGCAATAAAGCATATAAAGTTCATATCATGAAATCTTAGTAAAATACAATAGGCTTTTAAAACCATAGTTTGGATCAACTCAGCTTATTTAAATCCAGATTCAGTAAAATCAATTTTTTTTAAATGTCTTTCAACGGTTTTCAAAACAAAGGCTCAATGCAACCGTGAGCAAAAATGATGAAATCATGAACATCCCCTCGGGCAAACATCACTCGCATACAGCCCCTCGGGCAAACATAAATCATAAACAGCCCCTCGGGCAAACATGATCACAAACACCCCCTCGGGCAAACCTCAACATCACTCAGAATCAGGGTACCCGCGCTCACTGGGGGTGTGCAGACTTCGGAGGGGCTCCTTCAGCCCAAGCGCTATAACAAGCCACCTCGTGGCATAAATCATTCAGGCCCTCGGCCTCACTCAATCATGAATCAGTAACAACATGCTGCGGCGTGCAGCCCGATCCTATAAATATCCTCACAAAACAGGCCCTCGGCCTCACTCAGTCATAAACCTCTCAAGCCGCTCGGGCTATTAGTAAAAACAGGGTGCTCAGCCAAAACAACATTTTATATGCATCAAAATAGAGTAGTAAAGACTGAGTTATGAAATTAATAAGTATAACATGACTGAGTATAAGTTTTCGACCAAAAATAGTGAGAGGATAATAAGAAAAAGGCCCCTAAGGGTCTAAACAGCTCTGGCACAAGGCCCAAATATGGCATTCAGCCCAATTTACAGAAATTCTTTCTAAAACACATAAGTATCATATAGTTTCAACCAAATACGCAACTTATAGTTGCTACGGGACGGACCAAGTCACAATCCCCAATGGTGCAGACCCACACGCCCGTCAACTAGCATGTGCGTCACCTCAAAATAGTAAAACAATAAATCTGTGGTTTCATACCCTCAGGACTAGATTTATAATCATTACTTACCTCAAACCGGTCAAATCCCTATTCTGCGATGCCCTTGCCTCTCGAACCGGCCTCCAAATGCCTCGAATCTAACCACAAACAATTCGATACAATCAACACGAGCTAAAGGAATCAATCCCATAAGAAAATGTTAAGCTTTAGGTCAAAAGTCAAAAAGTCAACTCAAATTGGGCCTCGGGCCCACGTCTCGAAATTCGACAAAAGTCACAAAATCCGACAACCCATTCGATTATAAGACTAACCGTACTAGTTTCATTCAAATTCGACCTCGAATAGGCTTTCAATTCCCAGAAATTAATTTTATGAAACTCCACCAATTTCTCCCAAATTCTATCCCAAATCACGCATCGAATGATGAATTTAATGATATATTCATGAATATTAGCCAAAACCGAGTTAGAATTACTTACCCAGATGATTTCCTTGAAAAACTCCCGAAATTTCGCCTCAAACCGAGCTCCCAAAGTCCAAGATGTGAAATAAAACCCTAAACCTCGCTTATATAGTGCTCTCTAAACCTTCACTTCGCGGTCCGCATAAAATCCACCGCGGCCGCATTCCCTCTTCCGCGGCCCGCCTAATTTCCACCGCGGCCGCATAATACCTCCGCGGTCCGCACCAATTTTGTATGGTCCGCACTTCCTACACCAGATAAAGCTAACACAAAAATCTGCCAACTTTTAAAGCCAAGAATTGATCCGTTAACCACCCGTAACTCACCCGAGGCCCTCGGGACCTCAACCAAACATACCAACACATCCCATAACATCATTCAGACCTAGTCGAACCTTCGAATCACTCAAGACAACGTCAAAACACTAAATTACCATCGGATTCAAGCCTAAGAACATCCAAATTTCCAACTTTCGGTAATTCATGCCTAATTCTACCACTGACATGCAAATCACATTCCGGACGCGCTCCTAAGTCCAAAATCACCTGACGGAGCTAACGGAACCATCAAAATTAAAATACGAGGTCGTTTACTCATAAGTCAACATCCGATCAACTTTCCCAAGCCTTCTCAAAAGAGACTAAGTGTCTCAATTCTCTCAAAACCATTTTGAACCCGAACCATCTAACGCGATACGATCAAATACAGCTGAAGAACACAAAATGAAGTAGAAAATGGGGGAACATGGCTATAATTCTCGAAACAACAGCCGGGTCATTACATCCTCCCCCACTTAACTCAAACGTGCCCAGAGTTGTTCCAAAACCATCAAACCGCCGTATAACCTTACCATGCACATATCCGGGGGTGATCCCACGTCACCCTATCCCATATAGGTCCGATAGCACAACATAGCTGAAATTTCACAATTCACCCTAGCCCATAAACTTAGAACTAAATTTCCACTTCCGAAATTATCTATAAGATCAGAATCTCACATCTACACACTGAATAAGTCTGAACACGTTGTATCAAGCCATAACCGCAACTCAAGATGAAATCACATGATATACCACACAACTCAAACACTCATAGCGATAACTTCTAATCACAGCAGCTGCTCATACAACCCAATACTGATAATAAAACTCTTATCAGACAAAGCCTCATTCCAACACTTTCGTATACTGCCAATGATGAAAGAAACACACAGAAATCATAACCATTCCTCAGATCAACCAGTCATGGAGTTCCCTCTCCTTCGGCAAGGACTATAGTAAATTTCTAAGCCGAATTTCGATATTATCCTTTCAACATGCTGAAATCGAATCCGATAGTATTTATCATAGGTCCAATGACCTCATCTCATCCAACACGACTACTCTAGTGACATGACACATCAACACCATCTAAAGCCACAACCCGTGCAATCCGCACACCAATAAGCAATAATCCAAATGTACTCAAATCATGGAAAATGACTCAAATGAGAGAGCTGTATCGCAAGCTCAGCAGTACCACCTCAACACTATGCTAAGAACCCATCACACACCTTAGAACCAGAACACACGAATCTAACCCGAAGGATCATATCCCAACATAACTTCGTTGCAGTGCGCGATCCCGTCCAAACGCTGGTCTGCATATATACTTCGAGCCACCCTACTCAAAATACATACCCATTCGAAATTCGACATCAAGAACCCAAAGTGCATTACCACAACCACGGAGAGCAAATAACACAATTCCACCATCTGAAAGAACATAGCTAACGCGCAATCATTCACGCAATACCCGAATACTCATCTTGAAAGTTCCCGTTATAAGCCCAAATAGATTCTTACCATGTGTGCATCTAACCAACGAATCATAACTCCTCGTAGCATAGAAGAGTAACTCACAAATAAATCTCGGAACACGAATACGCTTAACAACAACCGAATGGCACCTCTCTCAACAATAGCAGTTCGGAGTCAACATATCCGACTCGATGCAGAATACACATCCATGTTGGGCTTACCAATGAACCCCAAATCAACTCTGCTCACCCACAACAGATGAATAACTCTCCAAAAGTTCCCAATGACTGAATCATAGCACATACTATCATCTGACTAGCTTGCCCACATCTTCACAGTCCACAACCACGAAACAGTCTGCTCACGAGAACTCCCAGTCTCCAAATCCATAGAACATACGAATCACCATCTCTGATCTCAACTCCACCGCCTGGATGTCCACACTCCTCCAATTACACAGTCACCCCACGAGGAATGCTTTTGAAATTCTTCTGTGCGACAAAGCAAAATTTGAACTCCAGCAGTCGATCAAACAAGAGAGTGCCGCAATACCAATGAAGTATCCATAACTCAAATGCATCGCCCTTTCTGAAATGTATACACCCATCAAGCCATACCAGTTAGTAATATCATTTCTCCGAGTCATCTGAAACTGTCCATGCTACCTAAGAATTTATGACCTTCCTTTCAGAACTGAACTGTGACCTTATGCATGCAAATCTCGATCCCACACAACATACCGCATATACCCTGCCATCCTCTGATAAATATGAGGACTTTATAACCCACTCCGAGAC